CGATTAGATAATAATACCAAATACCAATCCAAGTCCCAGTGGCTGCTCGATCGCAATATTCCTGGGCCCTGGCCCACCTCTCCAGCCAGGCTAGACTGCTCGGCACAGCCGTCGCCTCAGTGCCTCGGGCGGTGACCCGTTCAAAGGGGCTCACAATTCGTATGGTGCCGTGGCTCTCAAACCAACACAGAGCAGTGAGACGCACAGGCTCACTTTCCATATAAGGCGAACGGCTGATTCTGGCGCCGGGGCTTCATTCATGCTAAGGCGCCCAATCACAGCGCCACATTTCAGTTAGTGTCGGGCGCAAAAGCTACTATGCTCCGCCCCTCCATCACGTGACCCTGCCCTCACGTGGCCTCAGTCACGTGGTGTTTCCACTTCTTGGCGCATGGCGGCGCTAGTCTCGCAGGGGCGGAGGTAGCTTGCTCCCCCGCCGTCCGGGGGTGATGGGTAGCAACTGCTGGTGACTGTACTTGATCAAAGGTCACCAGCTGACCTGAGGATTATTGTATTCATATAACCTGATTCGGTGCATGTCGTGACGGCCAGCGGCTATTTTTTCGAGAATCTATAATCTATATAGTAGCTCGCTAAGGTGTGAAAGGTCGTGGTCTCACTTGCGCCTGGTGTGCACGCTGCACGCCATTCTTTGCCCCCGGGAAGACGCAAGATGGGAAGACGTGCTTTTGTAGAAACCTTCAATCGACACTGCCCAAGAGCGCAGTTTGACTTATCTGATTTAATGGTACTTAATCTATTCCATCAAAGCCTAATTTGATAGTGATTAATTTCTTTGAATTTTCTGTCAATAAAAATATTAGGCGATGAAAATTTGCCTGTGGCGGCTTTACGTTGCAGCTGTGGTAGTTTGATGACGTCACAAATTTTACGTCCAAAGACAGATTACCGATTGTAGACATATATTAGACCAAACCTTGAGGCTGTTATTTGCGTCGGCGATTTGTTGCCGCGTAATTTATTTTCGCCGAAAATGGTTGTTTGCTCGTCAAACACATCTATGAATGAAGGGGGGATACCTCTCCCTTCCTTACAAGAACAGAAGAATACTATTTTCAAGCTGTGTCAGTTGCCTTTGAAGACGGGAGAGACTTGGTAAGGTTCCCATTTTTGCTTATCATTTGTATCCGTGCGCCGGGAGTGTAACGTTTTGTATTTCTTACTTTGCTTATACGTTTTTTTAATCCAAATTCATTTAATTCCATAAGGTTGGATTAGTTTATGGATGGATAGAATGGTATATACCTACTGATGATTATTTGTGCAATTTTTTACATCTAAAACTGATAGGTACTGGAAGACAACATTTGGTTTTGGGACGTCAAATTGATGCATTTTTAAGTTCTTTCCCATGAGATCTGACTCAGAGGATATGATTCCAGTCATCAGAAAGTCATTCCCATTTGGTATGTATCTAAGTATTGTCCTCAACTGTGCTGAAATTCTGTGCTGGGCCCTGTTCAAGTGTGTGACTGCAGTAGGTGGAACTATGGTCATGAGTACCCAAATATAGGAACGTTCCCATTTTTGGGAACGGAGTTCCCAAATATGGGAACGGGCATTCCCATTTATGGGAACGGAAGGTAATTTTTCGGCCGTTCGCCCACTAAAACTCATAAGTGCATCACGTCTCAAAAAAGTGCACGCTAATTTAAGTATCTACTAAGTCTCTATAAAATTATCTTTAATCTGACCGTTGAACAAGGAAATTGACCGTCGAATGATATTTTTAATGTTTTTTTGAAATGACGGAATGGTGAAAACATCGCTTATAGGTACTACATTTAACATGCAATTTAAAGGAAAATGAAGCGTTTTTTACATTTTGAGGTCATGTATAATAATTTTCGCCTGGTTATGAAGTTTCATACTAGTGACACCAGATACTGACATATGCAAGCGAACACGCGGAAAGTTGAGGTAATATTGTTGACTTTTGGTGTCGGGGCGCACGACCGCGTGGAACGTCAGTGATTTTACCCAACTACTGTTGTAAACTCAGTTTCAGTGGTTTAAAATTATTAAGCTGTATTTTATCAGCCTGGAAGGACATATTTTATTTGGATGCTAGCTTTTTTTTTTTTTTTAGTGGCCCTAACTTACGTTACTGGCCTCGCGAGGAGGGCGGCGACCTAACTACGCCGCGCAAAAGAAACCGGCCGTCCTAACTAAGACCGGTGGCCACTTTTACTGCAAGACAACATGGGAAAACCCATATCCATGTACTATATGCTATGCTATTTATATACATTTATTACATGTACTATATACGGATGCTAGCTATTTAGCGTTGTTTACGGAGCGAGCGAAGCGAGCGGAGTCTTACGTAGAATAACGGAAATTTCTGAGTATGAGCGGCCGGCCGGCCGGCCGGCCGTGCGGACGCTTTTGCGAGGCTTATATCTCAGCAACCACTTGACCGATTTACATGCGGTAATTTTTGTAGGGTAGCTTCATTCCTTCTACCAAGTATTGGACT